AAAGATCTACTGGCAAAAGCAATGGGTCTGTCACCCTTCTCATCCATGTGGGACAAGACTGCTCCTACACCATCTGGTGAAGCATCACATATTAATATAAGTCTTTTCCCTGGGTCATAGTGAGTTAGTAAGGTGTCAGCAGACAAAGCCTCTTTTGCTGTATTAAAAGCAGCTTCTTGTTGTTTACCCCAGTGCCAAGTTGCATTTTTCTGTAGCAGCTTGTACAGTGGTGATAGTTTACCAGACAGATTTCCTATGAACTTTGCATAGTAATTTATTAAGCCCAAAAAAGCTCTTAGTTGTTGGGTATTTTCAGGTTTGGGTGCTTCTTTAATGGCTTTTGTTTTCTCAGGTTGAGGTCTGATGCCTTGTTTGCTTAATATATAACCAAGAAAACTAATTTCTGTCAACATGAATTGACATTTATCTTTGTTTATCTTTAAACCTTTTTCACCAACAATTTTCAAGACTTTATCTAGTGTTTTAAGATGTTCAGTGTCATTCTTACCAGTTATGTACACATTGTCAAAGTACACACAAACATTTGGAATGTCCTTAAAAATACTGTCCATGACAGCTTGGAAAATTCCAGGGCTAGATGATATGCCAAAACATAGTCTTTCATATTGGTAGAGTCCTCTATGTGTGTTTATTGTCGTATAGACTTTTGAATCTGGATGCAGTTCTAGTTGAGTGTAAGCATGACTAAAGTCTAATTCAGTGAATTTGTCTCCTCCTGCCAAATTCAAAGAAATTTCCTCAATGTTAGGTATAGGGTACCTATTTAGCTCTATTTGCTTATTCAGTGTAGTTTTGTAGTCTCCACAAATTCTTATAGAACCATCCTTCTTTAACACTGGCACAATGGGTGTCGCCCAATCGGAATAGTCTACCTTCTTTATAATGCCATTAGATTCCAATCTACTTAGCTCATTTTCAATTTTATTCCTCATTGCATAAGGTGGAACTCTAGCTTTGCAGTATCTTGGATTTGTGTCTTTAATGCTTAACTTCACTGTTCTATCATTTAGTAATCCATGATTACCAAAAACACATTTATTTTCAGATATTACTTTATCTAGTGAAGTAAGACTAGATTCTTTTACATTCTTCAATGAACAAATACTCTCCCAATTTAACTTAAGATCACTTAACCAGTTCCTACCTAGTAATGGCGGTCCATTTCCTTCAACCACAAGAAGAGGAAGTTTAACACTTTGACCATTATAACTTACATGAACCATACACTCTCCTATTACCGGAACATTGTCACCAGTGTATGTTGTTAGACACTTGTGACACGGCTGTAGAGACACTGATCCTCCAGTGACAGCGTCAAAATCTTTCTTTGTTATGACTGTTAGAGATGCTCCAGTGTCAAGTTGGAAGCTGATGCTCTTACCGTTGATATTAACTTGTACATTGATGGGAGCATGACTTATTGATTTAACAGAGAACAGGTTGAAATCCGGCTGCGAATCAGTTTGAGCATTTTCACTGGTAGAGTGGTTCATTGGTTGGGTTAGGTAGTCTTGGTGAGAGTTAACGTAGTGCTGCTTTCGGTTGCGGTACTGTCTTGACTGGCTAGATTTAGCAACAGACGAAGACTTTGCAAAGCAGGCCTTGGCAATGTGACCTTGCTTACCGCACTTATAACAAGTTGCAGACTTGAACTTGCACCGATGAGATGCATGGGGACCTTTGCATCGATGACATTTTTGATAATTATTACTAGATTTAGATCTAGGATTTGAACGAGCAGGCTGTGTAGCATAAGTTGGAATGCTCTGATGGGGTTGATGTTTATTGACTAACCTGCTGTTTACTGCATGGATCTCTGAAGGTGCTAAAGATCTCGCCGCATCTGATGACTGCTGGAATGACATTGCAAGTTGTATTGCTTTTTCCAATTTTAGATCTGACTCGAGCAGCAACTTTCTTTGAATATCAGGGCTGTTTACACCTGTCACAAACTTTTCACATAGTCTGTCAGACAGCGTTTCTCCAAATTCACAGAATCTACTTAAATGACGTAAAGCAGCAACATATTCTGATATTGACTCGTTTGGTTGACGAGTCCTACTGTCAAATCTAGCTCTACATAAAAACTTTGATGGGGTAGGCGCATGGTGGTCTGTTAGCAATTTGCTCAGCTCGTTAAAGCTCTTGGTAGTTAGACTAGCTGGTGTGCATAAGTCCTTTAGTAGCCTAAATTGTTGAGGCCCTATGACTGTTAACAAAACAGCTCTCTTTTTGGCTTCTATCGTCACGTCGTTTGCTTCTAGGTAAAAGCTTAACCTCTCTAGGTAATCTTGAATGATTTCATCATTCGCATCAAATTCTTTTATTTGGCCATACAGCGCCATAATTCTAGAAATAATTAGCTAATAAGCTCTAGCAAACCTCTTTTTTGCGTAAGTAGGTGCTCTTTCTAGTAGATGTTTATCCTTCGTCGCCAGTTATAATAGATTGACGACAGAAGCCTGTGGTTGTATATAACACATTTAATGGGTCTAACTACCTCATGATGGTAACACACAGAGAGGACGGGGGGAAGTACACAAGGGACATCACTCAAGATAACAATATTATAAATATAACTAATACAGAAGAGTGAGTTCCCTTGACCTCACAATTATTTCAATCTATTACACTATCTAACATCATCCGTGGCTCCATTATCTCCGTCACAGGTTTGTTGTCAACTGTGGAAATAAATATCAGCCCAAACAGAATGGGCTGGCTCTCTGTGTTTGTACTGCCGTTAAACTCTGCCATAAATCCTCTCTTGTTCATCTGGCAAATCGTACAGCAAAAATGGGCCGCTTATAAAGCCAGCGCATAGAGAATAATCTACTTACGTGTTGGCCCCTCAGTTAAAATTTCACTGTTCGTAATTTAGACTGTAGTGTGTGGTTTGTTTCAGAATGTATATTTTGGATATAATTGTAAAGAATTGTACATTAAAATTCTCTTGCTATTTAAAGAAAGTATAACATAATATACAGATTAATTAAGTGATCAATATTTATTCGTTTATGCTTTCTTAATTTAGTTGTATTTGAATTGATTATGTTGTAAAAATGTTCACTTTTTTGATAATCTTATTTTTTAGTTCAACATGTCTGTTACATCCAACCATTTTATTTTTACGCTTTTGTTTTAGAGATCATGAAGGGTTAATAATTAAGAGCGATTATACCACAAAATAAAATATAAAATGTAAGGTTACTTACATAGCCAAGAAAGTTAATAAATAAATATTATTTGTTGTTACTTTAAAAAATTGTTTTATTATATATCAGTTAACAGCTTTATGTGTTATTTTATTTTTCTAGTAACATACGCTAGACAAAGTTCATTATAACCCACACCCTGTATACGTAGAGCATGTATGTATATTGGCAGTGTGTTTGTAAGCCGACACGTTTGCAGACACCGAAGCAGACCTAAGTTTTTGTAGACACGGTGGCTGCCTTGCTAGCTGAGTCAATAAGGTTACATAGAAGGATGTTTGATTAACCAGTTTTTTTTCTCTCGTTATTTCCCATAGAAATTTGCCGACCCTTGCTTTAGAAATGAGTTTTAGGTTAGGAAATTTAGATAAAAACGACAGTTATTAGTTTATTCTTTGTTTGCAATTAACAATAAAAAGATAAACAGAACATTTTTCATTTTTAAGATCATTGAAATATATAGCTGTTGATTCTGCTGTAGCCTAGACAAAACCTATTCCCCGACCTTACAAAATGGTGGGAAAATAGAACTATTAAAATATTACCGACTGACCGACCGACCGACCGACCGAACAACCGACCGACCGACCGACCGACCGAAAGAAAGGTTAATTGATATTTTGAATGCCACCGAGCTGTATACATACACAGCGTGTTAACGATCCACAGTTTCGAAAAAAAGCCGCAATGCTTGTACTGGAACTGACAGTAAATCTGACTTAATCTTGGTAGTAATTTCAATTTATGAAAAGTACTAATTGTGTAGGGGGGTTGATGCCGTTATGGAAAGTAATAGTGGCTAAGCATAGTGCTTACAACACTATCCCTTCATATGCTGAGGTCTCTAAAATAGATGAATTCTACTTAATCTGCGCCATGTGTTTTGGGCTAGAACGGGAAAAGAAGATGATATAATCGACTACTTAACAATGTTTTACAATTTTAAATAGCACTCAAGATAAACGCATATTTTATGGGATTTGAATGTTCTATTTTACACGTTTATATTTTCATTTTCACTAATTTTTCCTTACAAACTGACCTTTATTAAACTAGATATCTCTCTCTTATAAGAAAATATTACAGAAACCTTAATTAAACTCACTAGCATTAACTATTTTTAATATCAAATACGTAAAAAAAGGAAGTTTAACACTTTAGAAATATACAGTCTTACAACATCAAAAACAAAATGTAAATAGAATGAAACGAAAAAATGTAAAATACTCTGAAACCACTAACTGATTTCAAGCCACCATTTATAAGTAGATGTGCGCAGTTCAAACAGAATAAGGATACACAGTGCATATAATTGATTACATTGTGCGATAATTTAACCACTTGTTTAAGGTGAGTTTTTTATCCCAGTTATCACCAGCCCACTCACACATGTATAGGTCCTTCGAAACAAACCGGAAGTATCAAGTTTGTTTGTCCGTTACTAATGTTAGATATCACTTCCTTTCTATGTCATGACGTTAACCTAGTATATTTGTTTATATTTTAAATCCATTTTTTGCAACATATATTACATATACATTTTATCGTTATCACTCATCCATACAAGTAGTGTTAAAATGCCGAAAACTAGACATTTTTTAACCTCTCCTTGTGCGCAATTTCCTATAAAATGGTGCAATGTGTTGTTTTTTTTAAGTATTGATATTCTGAACAATAGAATTGAAGTTTTAAAAATAATATTAGTGCAATCTACAAATATATGCGTACCGGAAAATGTAAAAAACTATTAACATGTAACAGATGTATTGTTTTTGCTTTTAAGTATTTTGGTTAAATGCATTTAAATTATTCCCCTAAAAAGAAACAAGAATAATTGTTAAACTCGTAGTCTACATAAGCAGATTCTAAATATAACAAATCTCCAGCTTTCATCCGCACAAACATTGTTCTTGACTCTTCTTTAGAATCGTCTTGTGTCTTAACAACACCGACCCGTGACTCCACGCCATCAGACTTGTGGTAAACATCAACTCGCACAACATCATCTCCTGTCTGTTTTATTGTGAGACTCGCTATATACAGGCCATCAGCAGGGGCGGTAAACTCTCCAGTGGTTGGATCGAAATAATTTCCTACGTTACGTTCTACAGTGTAGATTGTCATATGTTGGCATGTGCCGTCCCAGCTACCGTGTGATGCAATGAAACCCGGCATAGTATTTTTCAATTGTTGATTGGCTGCAAAACGTAAAGACAATAAAATAGATTTCTGACCTGTAAAAACTACTGTTCACAAAAGATTTTCAATTTAATTACAATCTAACTAGTTTTTCTCCAGCTATACAATGTTACAATTTATTATAAGTTATATATATATATATATATATATATATATATATATATATATATATATATATATATATATATATATATATATATATATACATACATATATATATATAGCGTATTGTGTAGAGTTTATGGCAAACATAAAAAACTTCCATTGAGGTAAACGGAAAATTACGAAAATAATAAAATAAAATGTAAATTACATTGCACACAAATAACATACGCTAAAAACGACACCATTGATGACCGGCTCAACGATGGTGTAGTTAAGAAATATAGAGGGTCCACTTACATGCTTCATACATACTATGAAAGCCACTAGTACCTATTAAATGTTAAGAACTATGTACAGGATTTTCAATGTCAAAACCTAGTTGAAAGTCATAAGAATTTAATCAACAGGCATACAACATACAATTGAATAATGTGACATGTGTTACTAGGGATATTGTGGGCATTTACCTAAAAGAACGCGGAGTGGGAGGGGGGGTGGACTCAGTGACATCAATATGATTAGAGCCCTGGATCAGAACCCGAAACTTTCGAGACGGCAGTTGTGCGATGTCTTTTACAAACACAAACACACTTTTTATTCGAGGCACATATTCAGGTTCACGTGTTTATTCAAAAAAATAACACCGCATACAAGAGTGATTTTCTGCGTTCGCCTACAGTCTAAAAGAATAAAGCGGGAGTGATCTCTAAACTTTCCCGTATAATAAACTTGTTTTTATTATAAAATAAAGTCGCGTAGAATAGGGCTTAAAGAATTTCGAACCAATGATTATAAACAATGTTTTATAATAAAGCAGAAAATTAGTGCTTTATAAATCATCAATGATTGTTTTCGTAGAAAAATATTAAAATCTAACTCAGCCACATTTCATGTCACAATGTATTGTCATCGAGTCTTGACATACTATAGAAGTGCTTTTTTGTATTCAGAAATATGAAATAGCATAATTCACTGGAAATCACTCAAAATTTCAGTGAATCTAGAGAATAAGAACGTATATTTATTTTAAAATATCCTGTACTTAACGGTATAGATACTCAAGTTGTCGGTGTTTTAGAAACCGGAAATAGAGAAAGTACCACTTCCGGTTACAGGTTATCGCTCAAGCGTTGTTAAAGGAATTAACATTGAAAGAATACTTTTTCAATGACATTTCTAAAACGGCAGGTAAATTTTTTTGTGTTTGCTGACATATAGATAGACAGAAAGACATACAGACAGAAAAAATAAATACAAATGCAGTTGCAAGACTTTTTTCCGAATCAGGGAGAAGTATAACTTTGAGAATTTCATTTTATGCAGGATTACAATACTTTCTCTATGTTTCGTATACGAGAAAATAAAAATTAAAGATGATAATAAGTAACCTACCAATTGTCTGAAGATCTCGTGTCAACTTTAAAATATCTTTTTCAAGACAGGCAATCTATGAACAAAACATAAGTAACTTATTGTAATTATTTAGTTAGAATATCAGTAGAATTTAAAAATGCAGTACAAAATACAATGTGAATAAATAAATTTAATACATTAAATTAAACTAACTCAATGTAGTTTAATAATATATTTTTTACGTAGGCCTACCTGATACACGAATGTTTCAGAAAATCCTTGAATGCCTTGTGTTTGGTCTCTGAATTCTCCCATCTCTTTCTTTAGTGTGTGCGGGTTGTTTTCATATTCTTTCATATCTAGAGACAGTTTCTCCAGTGTTTTGTCTGTGTCTGATTCTTTTGTTTTTAAACTTTTAATTTGTTGATTCAGCTCTTCTATTTTGTTATCTTGTTCTTTTAATTGTTCCTTTTGAGTTGTAAAATTCTGTTTTTGTTTTATGCACAACTTTTCAATTTTTATCCTATTGTCTTTTTGTTCTGCTACAAAGTTGTTTCTCCATTGTTTTGTATCTGATATGTCATCTTCAGTCTTTTGTTTTGTGTCTTGAAGTGATAATAGAGAATGTTTATCGCCATCCTGTCTTCTTATTGCTTCTGTGTAACATGCAACTGTTCGTTAAAATTTAAATAAGCTTAACCCATTTGTTCCATATAAATAATAAAAATATTAAAATTACTAAAATAACTTGAACTGTAACTAATTGCCTATTTATGTTTTATGTATATTAATTTTACATAAGATTTAACATTTTACATACTACATTTACAGTATCGAGAAATAAAGCTACTATTTTGGTTTCAAACATTTACCTTCTGGTGTTGCCTTTTCTCTTGTCATCACTGTGAGTGGGTACAGCTTGGTGGATTCTGTCAGCAAGATATACACATACATTACATTAGTGCATATTGAGTTAATTTATGGACTAACTATATTAATACACAGCTATGAGAAAGAAAAACTACATCTTTCAATAATATGCACACCTTTTACAATATATTAAATATCAACAATCCAAAAAACTTTATTCATTTAAACAAACACAAGAAAAAATGTTTTGCGCTATATTTTACTTTAATTAAAATCATGACCTTACCAGCTAACCTATCCGCTTGTTCCAGTAATGTATTTTGGGCTGATGTAACCATTGTAATAGCATCTATCACTGTCGTATTACAATCAGAAATGTGATCTTTACTTTCCATGGCTTTCATTTTAATCTACACAATATAGAAAATAGTTTTAACCCCGATTTTTTCATTTTGCAATTCTTGTTTTATACACATATTTTCGTCATTGTTTATAATCAAAGTTACAATAACATTATAGATTTTCATCTTCATATTTTCCCTTTTGAGATAGAGACACATGGGGCAGATGAAGTGGAGTCCATCTGTTTCAATAGTTTCGGGATACAAATTGGTATTTTCGTCAGAACTCTGCCCAGCCGACTTTGTTTTCTTAAATTGAGTCGGGTACCCATAAGGTCTGGGTGAACTCTAGGGTTTGGTTATTTAAAATCAAATAAACGGACAGCACGATACAGCTGCCTTCATCTCTTGAATGTCTAAAAAGCAAATCCAGATAATCTCTACGCTTGAGAAACCCAGACATTGCAAAGTTTTTATGTATCGGATATATATAAATATATAATACTATAATTATTCATATATATATATATATACATATATATATATATATATATATATATATATATATATATATATATATATATATATATATATATATATATATATATATATATATATATATATATATATATATATAAAGTAATATTAATTATTATACTAATCGCTTTACTTTTTTATATATTCAGGTATGTATATATAACATATAATATTATATACATATATATATATATATATATATATATATATATATATATATATATATATATATATATATATATATATATATATATTAGATTTTAATTCGATTATTTGTCTCAATATTTTACTTAACTAGCCATACCATTACAACATTGCGGACAAAAATATGTCTAGCTTAATTACCTGCTGTACAAAATCACTGATGCTACCCTGTAGATGAAAACTTGCCTGGTCCAATAGCTGAAGCTGTGTCATTAAATGTTTCTTTAAGTGGTCGGACATCTGTGTAGAGTTTATTTAAAATTAAACTCTTAACATTTTTATATTTTAAAATCAAAACTGATAACATATTGTAGGGACATGTAGTAATTTTTCTTAATTGTAAAATGCTGAAGGCTTTAAATCTTTAAAATTTTAATGTTTCAGTTTACAGAAATAGATTTTATAATCATTTTATAAACGAGCTTGTGTGGAGGCATTCAGAAAAATTGTCCGAGTTAGCTATTATTATGTATACATCATATTGATTGTTCTAAGAATCTACCCTAGACCAAAGCAAATATTCTAACACATATTACAAGCTCAAGACGTTTGAATGTTCTCGAACACGTAAACATAGCTAGACGGCAATACGCATACTATTTATTATGTGCAATACAGATTTGATTTAATTAAAGGAGTAACATTTTACCTCGATAAATGTGTCACTTCTAATTTGCAGCTTGATTTTCGTAAATAAATACAGCGACACTTATAAAGAGCTGAATGCTGTTTGCTTAGAAGGTGCATCGCTAAGTGACTGTAACGACATTTTTAGTTCCTGTTTCGATTTTTAGTTTTACAAATTCGTTATATTTTGTTTGATCTTCTTCTTCTTCTTCTTCTTCTTCGTTCTTAATTATTAGTGTTGAAGGGGATCGAGATTTATCTGCCAGGTAATGGGTTCGAACTCGAGACTTTGTTCGAATTTATCAACCATGAGCTTTTTGCCGACTCGACCACGCCTTCAGCACAATTAAGCGTTACGTGTCAACTGTTTATGCGCCATTGAGGCCATTGACTCCGATTTCAGCCTGCTTTTCTTTTTGGATTTGCTTCCATAGCCTTTGTCCAACCAAGAACAATCTACAAGGCAGCAGATGTTTGATTTTGGAGTTGTCTCTCCTAGAAGAGTGGCTGTCCCCAGCTAACGAGCCTCATCTGCCCGAGGGTTCGAACTCGAGACTTTTCGGTTTAGCAATTTTGTTTGATGAATATGATAGATAATCATGGATAAAAATACAATATTGTGTATTGTCTGTTATGTAATATTTTAATTATACTTTAAAGTAATCTAAATTTACCTTAATAAAGGAATTTCACTTCCAATGCTTACAAAGCCTTCTTAAATCGAAACTTCGACTTGAATGTTTTCTATCGTTGTTTCGTTGTTATACAGGTAACAACGGGTTTTCCCTAAAAAAAATCCTCCCATTTCCATTTCTAGACAACCACAATATGGTTATACAGGAGGAATAAAGTTAATTTTGAAATTCTGACTACCATCAACTATAGGCCAACTTCCTCAATAATAATGTATTGATTAGTGTACCTTGTAAGTCCACATGACAGATGTATGACTATAGTGAGTGACCACATGACAGATGTATGACTATCGTGTGTGACCACATGACAGATGTATGACTATCGTGAGTGACCACATGACAGATGTATGACACTCTGAGTGACCACATGACAGATGTATGGCTAACGTGAAACCACTTCAAAAAGGTAAGACTATTGTCATAACATGTGGTTGTGCATCCAGAATGATGGCGTGTATTGTACAGATAGGGTTAACAAAACGTCTGAAGAGACTGAACAGAGAAACGGAAGGAGACAATGTCTAAACTTGGTCAGGACTACCAGAGAAGCTAGTATCCAAGGCCAAGCAGTCGTGGTGAGATGAAAGCAAGAAAAGCCATGTCTAAACTTGGTCTTAAGCCGGTACCTTATGTGACGAGGGTAACTATCAGAAAGGCAAAAAAAATATTTTATTTGTGATAAGTCGGCCAGATGTTTACAAAAGTCCTGCATCTGATACATACATAGTATTTGGTGAGGCTAAGATAGAGGATCTGAACCAACAGGCCCAGGTGGCAGCAGCTAACAAGTTCAAGACATTTGTTAACTCTGGTACACCAGGTGAACAGGCTAGCACGGTATCACAGCCCACCCAAGAGTGGCCTGGGGAGGAGGAAGAAGAGATTGATGAGACTGGTGTTGAACAAAAGGATATTGAACTCGTCATGTCTCAGGCCAGTGTTTCTAAAGCCAAAGCTGAAGAAGCTCTTTAAAATAATAACAATTCCACAATATATAACAGCTTCATTAAAAAAAAACAACTAGCACATTTGGGAATTTATCATTAAAAAATAGAAACATTACGAATACAATTATGATAAAAAAGCAAACTAAATGTAAATCTATGTAATGTTTATGGTGAAGTTATCTAAAGGTTATCCAATATTAGCAAACGTATTACAGTAATGAATTTAAAATGAGGATGTTCCAATATCTTGTTTAATAATAACATTTTAACAAAAATTATAACATAATTTTACTTTGTATTTAAAAACAAGTTAATAAAATGTCTATTGACAATTTAAGCGCAATTTCCTTATGTTATCCATAACAATTTTAAATCGAGATAAATCATATATTCAGCAACGGTGCCCAAATATTAAAACGTTTATATCAGTATTTGACTATGATTAAAACCCGCCTTCTTGTTTGTAAACATTAGCACGTGGAACGAACGATCCCACGTCGCGACAGGCTAGCCTCCCGTATCAATCGAAAATAAAAACCTACACGATGCTTAGTTCAAATGTTCTTCCTAGGCCTACAAAATGCTCAGTTTAAAAAAGTAGTAAATATTTTTTGTGACCGAACGAAAGGATATTTTAAAAACTTTCTTCGGCAATATTGTTTTAAATTATGGCAGGAATCGATTGGTAAATGTTTCAAGTCGCTAAGTGGTCTGGTTGTCGAGATATAGAGCAAAAACTGCATTTGTTCGAGGTTTTTTGGCTTTTCCGGGAAATCCAGAAAGGAATTCCGGGAATTTTTTTGGCTCACAATCATCCTTGGAACTTGCTTAACATATTTGCTTTTGGAACTAGTCCTCGATATTGCTTCGTAGAGGAGGAGATACCACTTAAAGCTGCGGACACACATCCATCCATACATCCATCCAGAATTGACGAGTTAATAATCGCAATTGTCCGTCTGGAAATTGCGCTAAAAATAAACCTACATTTAAATTTAGTCTTTGAGTATTTCTAAAAACAACTGTAAAACGTATTGTTTAAACACATAGGAAGTAAATATGTCTTAAACTAAAATATTGACAAACTTTCTTTTTCAAAACAATGAAGCTCAAGTTGCTATTTTTTAAAATATTACATATAAAGTTCTAAAAAAACCACGAGACCATTACAGTTCTAAAGATAATTATAAAACATAAATAACTAGCTAGTTACTTTGTTCAAAACGGTACAAGTATTACTCGCTTTGAAAGAAACAAGAAAAATGCGTACATATACAGTCAACACTATAGGTGTTTAAGTATAACACATCTCCACTCTTCATTTTAACATTAAATCGTCCTGATGATTTAGCACATTGACTATTTGTATGCACATCACCGACAGTACTAAATTTGTGCTTCAGCAAAGCTCCTACTGAGCGAAATCCTTCCTGTTGAATTGTAAATTTTGCTACATAAAGGCCATCAACAGGGGCGGTAAACTCTCCAGTAGCTGGATTGAAATTGTTTCCCATGTCACGTTCCACGGATTCGAATGTAATTACTTTGTAATTCAAGGTTTCTACCGCGTCACAGCGACCGTTTGAAGCAATAAATCCAGGCATTGGTTGTTTCACTTGTTGATTGGCTGCTGAAAATAAAAACAATAGACTTAATTCTGCCTATTAACATATTTAAACACATTATGGTAAAATATAATAAATGCAAACAGATTTGTTTCATTTATGAAGACGGAAGAATCAAATTGTCATTAAACTCTATAAAGCAATGATTTTAAGTCACATTGTTCTACTGTTGGGCAGCCCAGTTACTTTAACCATATTATAAATATTGTACATTGGCTGTATCGGCTAGGCATTGCGTTAGCCAGTTATAGCCATTTCTAAATTCAAATGACAACTGAGATATGCAGAATTTGTATTTTTAAAAGGAGCAATGCATAAAGTAATGTTTAAACCAGTAGTACGTAGGACAAGACTTAGACGTGATATTACGTAAGTGTAACATACACATCGCGTGCCCTTCTTCAATATCGGAGTTCAATAAACAATGCAGGCACTATTATTTAATAATCGATCAAACACAATCAGTTACTTAATTATTACCGTGTTTGAGTTTAAATATGAGTGTGATGGATATCCATTATGAAAAAGCTAAATAAAACGAAAATGATACACAATAATAAAAATATCTTGCTTAAACTCTTAAAAAATTAATAAATAGACACTCAGTCTACAAAATAAACAAACGTTGGGCAGTATTTACCCAAGTCTAGGACATTATACCTCCCTCCCCCTCTTGGTGCGATCACTCGACCCAACTCAATTACCTTCTGTCAATTACATGCAGCGTAATTACCCCACTTTAGAATTTAATATTATTCCTTAAACAATTGCTTATTTACACATATCTAGCTTCCTATCTAGCACCCTTTCCTAAAACACCTATCCTTAAACAACGAATCCCTATTTATACCATTGTACTCATACTCACTCAATCTAACCCTAACAATAAAAATCACACTCATACATACACACACTCACATACACATACACACACTCACTCACACTCACACATACACACAATCAATCACTTACACTCATATTCAAACTCAAACACGGTCATAATTAAATAACTGATTCTGTTTGATCGATTATTAAATAAAAGTAACATTTTTTACACACATTAATCTACATGTCAAAAGACTGATTATTGATTTACGCAACGAACAAACTTCACAAAATAGTTAATTTGTTAACAAATATTAATAGTAAATATTTTAGAAAAATTACCTACCAATTTTCTGAAAATCCTGCCTCAACTTAAAAAAGTCGATTTGAAGAGCATCGATCTAAGTAAATAATATAAGTTACTTAATCAGATTTTTTTTATCTATGTAAGAGTAATTTAAATTTTGCATAGAAGGCTCTGAATTAAACAATGATTCTACTGCATTTCTGACGTTTTACTT